ACTGTTGGGGTAGACGCGACAGGAGCAGTGTTGAGCGCCGGGGCATGCCAACCGATCAGGCAGAGGGGTTCTCGGAATGTTCGGTTATATCTCAATTCTTTGTGAAAGAACGAATCAAAGACCATCGAGTTCTTCCAGTCGAACTCCGAGTAATGATGAAAGAAGGTGACGACAATATCGGCTGGGGTTACATTTTCATTCTCGTAAGCCAATGCTTTACAGACCGGAACAAGGAGGACGCTTATGTGAATACCACCAAGGAATCCAAACTTTGCCGAATAAATACCTCGCGCCTGGGCCCAAGATTTGATGAACAAGTGCGCCATTCGATACTGTACCATATCTGGAAGTGAGCGGCGAAGGTAGAACAGATCGCGGACAGGCTTAAGCTTAGCAAGTGCCTGGAAAGACAAGGCAAACGCTGGGTCGCTGGCTGGGCGCTTCATAACTTCAGGCCATCTATATCCGCGAATTAGCAGTTTCCATCTTGAATATAGACATCAGTCAATACTACCTTTCGGCTATCGATGTAGCTGCACAATACTGGAGATCGACTTTGATGCCATTGACTTCTAACTCCATCATGTTACCTGAATTGGCCTTGACTCGTCGCAAGATTCTGACGCCCAAGGTCGTTGCTCGCTTCAACCTTTGAACAGCCAATGCAAAGAATGTCTTTGAGCTGAATGGGCCAATGCACAGGCAGTCGATATCAGAAGAACTTGTCCAGACGCCGAGGCCATAAGAGCCAACTGGGACCACAATAAATGCAGGTCCAGATCGGGATTCATTCTCTGAAATCGAGGACGTAGCATCTGTAAGAACCATTTCAAGGGTCTTAATCGCTTCACTCCGGTCGGTCCTTTCCCGCTCATTAGGCAAGCATCCATGTCCTTCCAAGAAGTCCTCCAAGCTCTCGCTGTTAGCCAAGCCAGGAGGAGGTTGTCGAAGTGCAATTTTCATCTCAGGGACACAACATCGAGACATATCAGAGGGCGACGACTTTACCAGAAGGCATCTTATGCCCCAGTGATCACTGGCGTATGTGGGACCACTCTTCTCTATTGAATCGAAGGCTGTCTGACCAAAAGTATTGAAACCACGCGGGTTATAGTGGCCATTTGCCCTGACCAGGATCTTGTCATATCTCTGCGGTCTGTTATTCAGCCCATTTCCAACGAGATCAGACGCCAGTGTGTTTGTCAGTGGGTCGAAAGTAGCCCCTTGTTCTCCCTGGAAGGAGTCTAAGACGTTCCTCTTCTCGTTGGCTATGTCTGAAGATTCGCCTGACTCCAGTCTCGTTGCCAGCCAAGTATCTAAGAAGCCAGAATCCGAGATAGTCCGGTCGATGACTCGCAACTGACGAACAGTTTGGGCAGAAATATCATTCTTTTTCTTGGCAGCATCTATGGTGTAAGTTGAAGTCGCAAGATTGAAGTCCCCAGCAATGATGCATGGGTGTTGCCGAAAGGTAGCAGACAGATAATCGAGCATCTTCTGGACTTCTTTCTTTTTGGTGGCGACGGCGCCGTCAGTGAGTCCTTGGCTCAGATGACACGCCACAAGGATCCAGGGTTTGAATTTTCCATCGTCAGCATCTCTTGTACCGATGCCGGGAAACCGGGCCACGGTACAGCCTTTGTGCTTCCTATGGAATGGGAGATAGTGCCATTCAAACTCAAATCTACTCAAGACGACAGTATTGAGGAGGCTAGGTAGTGGCCCAATACCGGGATGATCTGGAGGCCCATGAGTGACGAAAGGATAGCGACTACGTATATCCTTGTTGGCGAGGAGGTCAGGAAGAAAATGGTCTGTGACTTCTTGGAGAACAACAATATCGGCAGCAGCATGAGCCGAGAGCAGATTTTCCACCAGAGCTGGATGCCGATATGATTGAGGAGGCCACTCAAATTCTGCCAAAACATTATAAGAAGCAACAACCAATTGTTCAAGGATGACCTCGTTCGTATCCGGAGATGTGTTTATCGACTCAGCCGTTTCCCAGACCCCTGAAGACTGGATTGAGTGATAGCATGGCTGGAAGGCAATAGTAGACAATCTGTCTATATGATCATTGAAACCTTGAGGTGGTGTTATCCGACGGAAGATTCCCAGTTCAAGATCTAGAGTCCCCCAAAGCCTCATAGGCCGTGGTCCGCTTCCGCCTTGCGCAAGTGCGCCATCGCGGATAAGAATAGCAATTTCTTTCACTTCCCATTCTATCGGTGCCAAGAGGCGGGCCTTTTCGAGGAGAAAATGATGAGGGGCAGCTGAGGCGTCTTCACTCTGACCGATGGTCATATGAGGAACGAAGCGTTCATTCCGAGCTCTATGTGAACAGCCAAGAGCATTGCAGATTATATCCCTGATCTTTGAGAGCTCGATTGTAGTAGAATCTGACTCTGAACCCAGAAAGACAGTGTTGCGGCTTTTATGTTTGAAACAGTCAGCGACATTGAGCGCAAGATGAGCCCGATCCTGTATCACAAGCCCTTCGAGTGCTTGAGCTGCATTCCCCAACACTTCAGGCTGGACAAATGGGTAGATAAGATTGATGTGGGGAGGCCACGCAGAATACGCCTTATCATAAAGACTTCTCAGGTGATCCACTGATGGCCAAAGTCCACGAGGAGGGATAACACATAGGGCAGTCTCGTGCGAGTCGAACCCATACAGTGATGTTCGTTCTGTCTTTTCCATAACTCTTATGAGATTCTCCTCCAGATTCCGGGTATATATGAGCTGAATGATGTTATGTGAACTAGAAGCGCTATGCCTCAAAGAAGATAGGCTGGGTTCGAAGTGTAGTTGGGAGGAGGGGGGTCCTGCTAACGTTGCAGGGGTAAGATAAGGTAGAGAGGATCGGCGGAGGGTTGTCGTCTTGCGTATTGTTGTATCAATGAAGTTACTAACAAAAAGAAGGCTTGCCTTACTTCTTTAATGCTTCATCTTCCCTTCACAAGGCTGACAGGTGATACAGAGATATATGACCACTGACTCATAAATTTCAGGCGTCAACTTCAAACTGACCCGTGGCGGAGCAAGCCTACGGTGTGACTCACTGTGAGCTATACATGATTTTGAAGAATATCGATCTTGTCAACTGAAGACATGTTCAGCTGGCGGAGATAGGGAGGGAAAAAATGTCGGACGATAAAAAGATTTAGGTAACTTAGTACCAATTTAGTCCAAGTTTAAGATACCTTTTACTGGGTTTATTTTGACATCCTATATCAAGGTTCGACGTTTTCTTGCTCCCCTCGGACTGGCTATAAACCTTCCCCGGGTTGATACTAAGTAAAAGGCACTGTATCATCAGGATTGCATTTTTCCTTAGGCACTTATGAGTCAATTATTAATATCATATTTTAAAATACTACAACATCAATAAGGGCCAATGCTGCAGTCCTTGGAACAGTCAGCCGTTCGCTTGACGAACAGCTCATCAAGATTCCGCAATAGCACATTATCCCATGTTCTCCGGCCCCCAATCAATAATTCCTGTTTCATGCCCCTTACCTTCCATTAGAGCTTCAAGCTTGTCTTCGACTGTGACCCAACCGTGACGCTTCTGTGAGATAGCGTACTTGATTGGATCCCTCCACTCTCTCCACCAAGTTTCCTCACTCTGAACAATGCACCTTCTGTCAGGCTCCCCGTTCTTCGCTGTAGCAAATGGCCAGACGGCTTTGACCACTTCGTATTTGTGCTTGCCAGAGAACAGGCTGGTCACACTTGTGAAGAACTGATTGACTTTGTCCGGGTTCTGTATCACGACACGACTATGGGTAACCACGAAGCTGACATCAACTACGCCACGGTAGTTGAGTGCTGCCACGAGGCTGCGGAATTGTCCTTCAAGCCATGCCGTATCGAGGTTTGTGACCACTCGTTCAAGCGTAAAGACTTTGACAGAAGCAGGATCCTGAATGAAACGGCGGCACCATTCGTCCAACCCAGCATCGCCGACTTCGGGTAGGACATCAGGTTTGAGACCTCCACGATAAGCTAGCTCCCCATCGCCAACACATCGAATATAGTCTAAACGCTGGTTATCATCATCTGGGACTAGCAGGCTCAGAAGGTTAAGTTTGATGTCAAAATCGACTTTGCGCCCCCGACTACCACGAATGTGAATCTGGGGCTTGGGAGGCACCGAGGCTTGTGCGCGGATGAGAGCGATAAGCGCCTCAGGCTTGGCCGATAGATATTCCGCACGAGATGAGAGAGTCTTATAGTCGTTGGAGAGTTTGAAGAGAGGAGGAGAGTAAAGACGGTAATCAACCCGCGGTAATCCAGGAAAGCGTGCTGGGCCTTTATGGGCTGCTGTGGCTTGTGAGGTCGGGGCGGAACCAGCGCTTGTCGAGACAGAAGGTCCAGAATAAGGCGGCAGTGTTACATGATGCTCTGGAGTCTCACCGGTCAAGACTGTGACAGGTGACGATGGCTCAGGCTCGGTGACTGCTGCGGACTTTTCCATGTGTAGTATGTAGGAAGACAAGAAGATTTAGGATAAGAGATATTGGTCAGTAGGCTATAAAATAAATGCAATGCCCTTCAGGTAAGTGAAGATGTATGGAATGTTTTGATCAACTTTGCACAGTAAATATGAAAATAACAATATTCTTATACAATATTTGAGAATAATCAAAGAAAAGTTACCCCGTATTACTTTGGAAGTTTTACCTAAACTTATGGTTCTTACCTTCCTTACCTGCCTAAAATACTAATTATCTATCGGGGCACCGAGCGCCACCTCTCAGCCTTGCCCCACTAGGTACTTACCTAGGGTCGTCAATCTGGAACCTGGCCAGAGCCTGAGTCTTGTTGTGAACACATAGCTACATCCCTACCTACCTTTGGTTGCTATCTCAGCGTCCAGCATCTGCATTTCTTCTACAAGGCAAGCCAACTGCCATACTCACTTTTTACCTTCAATTCCTATAATAACTTCTTCAACGTTCCGCCCCGCGCCTGCTACTTAGCCAACCCCAACGATGGATTACGAGACGCTCAAGGAGCAATGGAGCGAGGTCGAGGACCGCGATGGTGTCCGTCTAAGCTGGAATGTGTTTCCCAGCTCACGTATGGTATGTTTACAGCTTCATAACACTCCATCTTGAGCTCACGCTATATAGGAAGCCTCTAGACTCGTCGTGCCCATCGGCGCTCTCTATACCCCGTTAAAGGAGAAGCCCGATACTCCTCTACTCCATTTCGAGCCCGTTACATGCAAACAGCCCTGTCGCTCTGTATTGAACCCGTTCTGGTACGATGCCCTTTGAAAACGATTGTTCTAGTTTCATGAGCTGACCTGATACTGAAGTCAAGTCGATGTTCGTGCCAGAGTTTGGATCTGTCCTTTCTGCCTTTCGAGAAATCAGCTTCCACCTCACTACAAGGACATAACTGCAAACGCTATCCCCCCCGAACTTCACCCTGCGAATACCACGATAGAATATCGCCTCTCACGACCTGCTCCCGCGCCCCCGATCTTTCTCTATGTCGTCGATATGTGCCAGGAGGCTGACAGCCTCGCCTCTTTGAAAGAATCGCTTGTGATGAGTTTGAGTCTGCTTCCCGAGAACGCTCTTGTTGGTCTCATCACTTATGGCACAATGGTATGCCATTCATTTTTTTTCACCATCCAGATGTCATACCACTAATACCTATACAGGCTCATGTCCACGAGATCGGCTACGAGGAATGCGCCAAGTCCTATGTTTTCCGAGGTAGCAAAGAATATGCTGCGAAGCAAGTCCAGGAGATGCTTGGTCTATCATCCTCCGGCGTACGACCCGGCTTGCAACCTCAGCCCGGTCGCCCATTCCCTGCCGGCCCGGCATCTCGCTTCCTCCTCCCTGTCCAGCAGGCCGAGTTCCAGCTGACCAAGGCTCTCGAATCCCTTCAAAAGGACCCCTGGCCAGTTGCGAATGACAGACGTAACCTTCGATGCACCGGAGTTGCCCTCAGCGTTGCCGTCGGTCTTTTGGAGTCATCTTTCCAGAATGCAGGTGGGCGCATCATGCTCTTTGCTGGAGGCCCTGCTACTGAAGGCCCTGGCATGGTCGTGGGGCCCGAGTTGAGAGAGCCTATCCGATCCCACCATGATATTGATCGGGACAACGTTAAGTATTACAAAAAGGCTCTGAAGGTGCGTCATTCGGTACTTGCACTCTTTTGAGCTCATTCTAATCGTCTCATTATAGTTTTACGAGAACTTGGCCAAACGAACGGCACACAATGGTCACATTATTGACATTTTTGCTGGTTGTCTGGATCAGGTCGGTCTCCTCGAAATGAAGGGCCTATGTAATTCAACCGGTGGTCACATGATTCTGACTGATAGTTTCACTTCTTCCATGTTCAAACAATCATTTGTACGAATCTTTGAGAAGGATGGCGATGATAATCTACTCATGGGTTTCAACGCAGTGTTGGAAGTTCTGACCACAAAGGAACTGAAGGTCACAGGTCTCATTGGACACGCAGTCTCTCTCAACAAGAAGTCGATCTCTGTGGGCGAGACTGAATGTGGAATTGGCAACACATGTTCTTGGAAGATGTGCGGCATCGACCCCAAATCGAGCTACGGTATCTACTTTGAGATTGCCGGCCAAGGTCCTGCCACACATCAACAAGCACCGCAGAAGGGCATGATGCAGTTCCTGACGTACTATCAGCACTCGTCGGGCCAGTTCCACCTCCGCGTCACGACTGTCGCCCGCAACCTTAGTAGCCCTGCTGGGGACCCAGCAATCGCGCAGTCCTTCGACCAAGAGGCCGCCGCTGTCCTCATGTCACGAATTGCCGTGTTCAAGGCCGAGGTTGATGATGGCCCTGATGTCCTACGCTGGGTTGACAGAATGTTGATTCGCCTCTGCTCCAGATTCGCGGACTACAGGAAAGATGATCCTTCATCCTTCCGACTGGAGAAGAACTTTACGTTATACCCTCAATTCATGTTCCATCTCAGACGAAGCCAGTTCCTGCAGGTTTTCAACAACTCTCCAGATGAAACAGCCTTCTACCGCCACGTGCTCAACCATGAAGATGTTAGTAACTCACTCGTGATGATTCAGCCAACCCTGGACTCCTACACCTTCGACCAGGATGGCGGCCAGCCAGTTCTTTTGGATTCGGCCTCTATCCAACCAACTCACATTCTGCTTCTCGATACTTTCTTCCACATTCTCATCTTCCACGGTGAAACAATTGCAGAGTGGAGAAAGGCTGGCTACCAAGATCAAGAAGGTTATGAGAACTTCGCTGGTTTGTTGGAACAACCCAAGGAGGATGCTCGCGTAAGTTCACCCTCGACCACTCTCAATCCGTCACTAACCTGTCTAGGATCTCATCACTGACCGCTTTCCTCTTCCTCGATTCATTGTTTGCGATGCTGGCGGTTCTCAGGCTCGATTCCTCCTGTCCAAGCTTAACCCATCTACTACACACACCACTGGTCCATATGGTGGTGTAGGAGCCACCACTGCTCAGACAATTTTCACAGACGACGTATCTCTACAGACCTTCATGGACCACTTGATGAAGTAAGTTTGAACCCAGTAGGCAGCACATACTGAGGTGAGCTAACAAACTTTCTAGGCTTGCTGTGAGCGGTACCAATTGAGGTGGCCAACGAACGGCTGTATCGCAGACCTACTGCCATCTCAAGAAGTCAATGGAAATTCAAGTCTTACGATTGGGTGTAGATAGTGACCACGCAGTTCTCATAAGCCCACAATATTAGTTAAGATGCATTATAATTAATCAAAATCCGAGGCCAGCCCTTCGTCGATCTATAATCTTGAGTACCTCGCTGCGTTGTGATGGTTTAGTTCACCTCCACTGTTTGGGAACATGATAGCACGTGATGCTTGCTGACTCGGCAGCTTAGGGCAATGTGGGGCCCACATCCTGCATTTTTAGTTTCGATATTTCGCGACAACCTCAAGTTTTCTCTTCGATCAACCTGCCTGTTCCATACTTCCGGCACGCAAACCTCGAGCCTCTGCCGACTTTCACGACACAAAAATGCGTTCGTCTCACTCCCGAACATCAGGCACGATCATTCTGCTTACACGATGAACAGCTCCCAAGTTCGATCCCAATGAGGTCAAGGTGATGTAGGTTGTCGTTCGCAGAATTCGGACACCATGAAATTGACATTTTGCAGCCACCTCCGCGCCACTGGTGGTGAGGTCGGTGCCTCCTCTGCCCTTGCTCCAAAGATCGGTCCTCTGGGTCTCTCTCCCAAGAAGGTCGGAGAAGACATTGCCAAGGCCACTGGCGACTGGGTATGGTGTTCGATCCCATTGCATATTGAAGTACACTAACAATTGTCCTTAGAAAGGCTTGCGCGTGACTGTCAAGCTCACCATCCAGAACCGTCAGGCCGCCGTGTCGGTTGTGCCCACTGCTTCCTCCTTGATCATCAAGGCTCTCAAGGAGCCTCCTCGTGATCGCAAGAAGGAGAAGAACATCAAGCACAACAAGTCTGTCAGCCTTGACGAGATCATCGAGATCGCCCGCACCATGCGATACAAGTCTTTCGCCAAGGAGCTCTCTGGTACTGTCAAGGAGATTCTCGGAACCGCCTACAGTGTTGGCTGCCAGGTCGACGGCAAGCCTCCCCAGGCTATCATCGAGGCCATTGACAGCGGAGACATCGATAGTAAGTCTTGGTGCCCCCTCCTTGAAATACCATTATGCTAATATGCGAATAGTCCCTGAGGAGTAAATGTTTCTAGCGCCCTATTCAAAAATCTCACCAGTATGAGAAACAGAAAATAGACTCATTGATCGATGGCCATGACAAATCATTTCCGTCCAGTCCCTGTGATTTGCTTCGGAATTATGAACCCTTGACTCACTCCGAAATCTACCATTTTGCCCCGTGGTTTATTTCTATTTTTGTGCAAGGGAGAGGAACTTAGGCCCAATACTCACCGCGACATACTAGCGATAAAGCTCTTGTGGATGTAGCGGTCCATCATCATGGCCACATGACACAGAATTTCCAATACAGAGTTGCAGGACTTCCAATCTAAATTCCCTTCCATTTATTTCGAGAACATCTCCCTGCCACTCTATTGGACTGCACAATCTCTTACTCGCGATGTCTCCTCGAATAGGTAGAAATGGGCATTGAGAAAGATACCATCTATCTAAGCTAACCGGGAAGAATTTGAATCAAGTCGTACTTGTGGTAGCTGTAAGCGTTTTCATGGCATAACCTACATGACATTGTTTCCACCATTGAGAGTGCCAGTTCTCCGTGAAGTTTACCAAGGTTTCAATTATGAATCAGTTGAAGAAGCACACCTTCAGTCTGATCTACTTGCTTACGAGACTACATCAAGTTATGTGAAATCTTCAGGGTTGTGAGAAGGATACAGCTGAGTTGAGTTGAATGGATAAAATGCCGAGACTCTATCCACATGCGGCAAGTACACCAGCGATGTGGTATGATGGGCGATATCCTCAATAGTCTCGTCGCATCTGAGGGTATTCATAGAATATCACTCGCATCCACGGTCACGGGTGGGATCAGAGGCCCCCTTTCCAACCATTTCCAACGCCCCATGCTGGCATGGATGATTGATGGATCCAATGACTATCAGGACATGCTGCAGCAACCTCGTAGCGCAGGGCCCCTGTATGTGCGTTGCATACCTTAGGTACATTGCATGCAGCTCAACAAGGACGGGAGCAATACTGGCTTGGTATATACTCAATGATTCAATTTACAAATACTTGCCTTGGCCCATACTTTCTTCCCTCTCTGCGCCGAGTCGTTTATCCGCGTCAAATGGTAAATTGGCGCAATCTTTATCTGGGGTTCGAGTTGTTGTTGGTTGGGGAAGTGGGCAGTGTAGGTAAGCATGAGTGTGGATGGATGGAAGGGAAATGGTCTGTCCGCGCTTATGGCACAAGCCGGGCTGAGAGGGGCCTCAAGGAGCAAGAAAACTTGGCTTCTCTATTCTAAGTGATAAAAATATTTAGGTAGCTTCAGTGTGTATTTAGGTCTCTTCAAGATTGGTTATTTGTGTCATTTGAGATATATCTCCCAGATTTCTTTCCTCCCCTTCCATCCATGCATGCCTTGAGGGGCATCACAGGCAAAGTGGTGTCCAAGTTTGAGGTGAGGTGCCTTTGTGACTCCGTCTCTCCCGCCCCAATGTGGGACGGCCTGTCCCCCCCCCCCCCCCCGCTGTCACAGGTTCTCCACTAACCACGGGCCTTGCTCCATTGAACCTGGCGCTAAGTGCCTGGCAAGCAACGTGCCCATAACCTCACTTACCTAACCTGCCTAGTACCACTACCGATACAGCTCTTTCTTGTCAACTGCTTGTTCTGCTTGTATTGACCTGAAAGCCTCCTTTAGCATTTACTTGACCGATATCTAGGGATCTGGGGCTGTCATTATACTCTGATTCCCTACCACTGCAATCAGAACCTCCTTTGTGAGACGATGAATGCGATAGTGATTTCTCGTGCGACTTGATATTCGGTCCCTCTGCGATAGAATCGATAGACACTGCTGAACAGAGTCGCCTAGAAACGCCTGGCCCTCCCTCTTTCCCTCACTCTTACTCACCAACACAAAGACCATTCTGGTGGTTTCAAGACAGCGCAAAGCTCTCTCGCAACAGCTTGAAGTTTCTGGTTCTTTGGTGTGTCGTTGGCGCTACACTCGCCTTTCTCACTCGCCCAGATGCTTGTCAGCAATCAACTCGACACTTCAATACCAAGCGCAGCCGCCAGCCATGCCCTTTAACCAACAGGCCATGCCCTACAGATTTCAATCAGTGTCTTTTGTCCTGCGTTTTCAGTCAGTTTTGTTTCCTCGCCAAAATACCCCGTTGTCATGTTACCTCTCCTTCAAATGTCCCCTCACGCGGTGACGCCGCCGCAGTCGAATCTCGATACCCTCTCAACGTTCCCAAATAACGACGACGCCATTTTTAACGACCATCACCCTCGCAATATCCCAGCGCCATATCAGCAGTCTTTCGCGATTCGCACCTCTCGACCTCACCGGCACACTATCCCGTATGGCTCAGCTCTTTATCCCCCCCGCCAAGAGCATCATTTACGACGAAAGACACCAAACGGTACTGTCGATGCCGGATATGACGGCTCGCCGTCGTTGTTCTCCCATGGTCCCCCGCCTACAAAACATTTAATTCTACCTCGATCAGCGACGGCTACGGCATTTCCCCTGACGGGCCCTTCTATACGCCAATCTCATTACAATGGGAGCATCGACTACCGCCGTCCCTCTTCGGTCGGCAATACTGACCTCAGTGATGACCCGCAGGCCCGTCCCGGATCTTCCACTTGGGCTTATGGAGGCGATACGGCATTGCATCGTGGTGCACTTCCTACTAATCATTATGGCCTTCATCAAGCCGAAGGCCAGTACATTCCCCAAGGCCAGCCTGAAGCGCTGGGGGTATTCCCTAATCTTTACCAACCAATAATACGAGCTCACGAGTACAATGTCAGGGCATTTTGCCCACCCCCCATAGTCATGAACGAATCGCTGCCTTTCGGTCAACCAGGCATGCATACGCCATGGAATTATCATGGCCGACCTGACCTTGTCTCAGCAAGGCACATTCAGCCGCAGGACTTGCGCTCTTTCCAGCAGCATTGTGGTTCTGACTTCGCACGTCGTTCTTCCTTTGCTTCAGGCTTTGACTCGGAAACTCAGCATCATCCTGGATTCGATTCGGGCATGCAAACACAATCATATCTTCGGCCACCTCATATGAGCAGCCAGCAAGGTTTCAGAGAGAAAGTATTATTACAGGCGCACAGGGTCTACGTTGATCTGCTGGCATACGCACAAACTATCCGGAAACCGCAGGGCTCCAAAGGAGCAGTAGGCCACAACACGTCCCCTAGGCTTCTCGTTTACCCTAAACCTCCGAAACCTTCCTTGAGAATATCTGAAGCCGCATTTGGACAAGATCCTACATTATTTAACAACTCCTCTGAGAATGATTCGTACCAAGACTTCCAGTCAAGGGGACATGTGGTACCCTACTTTCAGGGGCCGTATAACAGTTATTCTTCCACGGGTAATTCAACACTTTTCGCGGCAGCAAAGTCTATTTTAGATATGCTCAGCAGTCTTTGCGAACAGAGTACCTGGAGCTGGATCGACGGGATAATGCTAGGGGGGTGTTTGCACTATGGTCTAGATCAATATCAAGAGGCGTTGGAATGGTTCTCGAGAATTACCGCCCTTGACTCGAGGTAAAACTCTTCTCCCACGTGAACTGTCAAGTGGCTGTTCATTGTTCTGACTCTTTCGCAGTCATGTCGAGGCAATTACGAATAAAGCGGCCACTCTTTACTGTCTCGGCCGCCAAGACGAGGCCGAGAAACACTGGATCAGAGCTGTGGAAGTGCAGCCTAGGTACTTAGAAGCTGTTGAACATCTTGTTGGACTTCTTTACAAAAAGCGCAGCAAAGAGGCCGTCGAGATCATCGACCACGTTCAACGCGCTCTAAGAGTATTGCCGGTATGTAACCCATTAGAAATGATTGGCAGCAGCCAGCATGCTATTTACTATAGGCCTTGACAGGGTGCAGAGCGCCTGTGTTGTGGGAATACTG